ACAACAACCATCAACAATCACTTAAACTCAACACATTACTTACTACAGGGATAACTTACATAAAGATTTTTTTTATAAATCGCGAGTATATCAAAAAAAAAACCGCGGGCGGATCACGTTGCCTGGCCAGAATCACATTTTATAACAACAACCCTCAACAATCACTTCAACTCAACACATTACTAACTACAGGGGGTACAGGGATAACTTACATAAAGATTTTTTATAAATCGCGAGTATATCAAAAAACCATGGGCGGATCACGTAGCCTGGCCAGAATCACATTTTATTACAACAACCATCAACAATAACTTCAACTCAAAACATAACTACAGGGGTTCAGGGATAACGTATATAAAGATTTTTTTGTAAATCGTAAGTATATCAAAAAAACGCGCGCGCATCACGTAGTCTGGCCAAAATCACATTTTATAACAACCATCAACAATGACTTCAACTCAACTCATAAGAACATATATAAAGATTTTTTTATAAATCGTGAGTATATCAAACAAAACGCGGGCGCATCACATAGTTTGGCTAAAATCACATTTTATAACAACAACCATCAACACTATCTTCAACTCAACACAATACTAACTACAGGAATAACATATATAAAGACTTTTTTTATAAATCGCGTAGTCTGGCCAAAATCACATTTTATAACAACCATCAACAATGACTTCAACTCAACTCATAAGAACATATATAAAGATTTTTTTATAAATCGTGAGTATATCAAACAAAACGCGGGCGCATCACATAGTTTGGCTAAAATCACATTTTATAACAACAACCATCAACACTATCTTCAACTCAACACAATACTAACTACAGGAATAACATATATAAAGACTTTTTTATAAATCGCGAGTATAAAATTATCAAAAAACCGGGCGCATCACGTAGTCTGGCCAAAATCCCATTTTATAATAATCATCAACAATAACTTCTACTCAACACATTACTAACTACAGGGATAACATAATTATATAAAGATTTTTTTAAAAAAAAATCGCGAGTATATAAAAAGAAAACCGCGGGCGCATCACGTAGTCTGGCCAAATCAAATTTTATAACAAACCATCAACAATAACTTCAACTCAACACATAACCAACTACAGGGGGTACAGGATTAACTTACATAAAGATTTTTTATAAATCGCGAGTATATCAAAAAAAACGCAGTCATATCACGTAGCCTGGCCAGAATCACATTTTATAACAACCATCAACAATAACTTCAACTCGACACATAACCAACTACAGGGGGTACAGGAATAACTTACATAAAGATTTTTTATAAATCGCGAGTATATCAAAAAACCGTGGGCACATCACGTAGTCTGGCCAAATCACATTTTATAACAACCATCAACAATCACTTCAACTCAACTCATAACTAACTACAGGAATAACATACATATTTAAAGATATTTTATAAATCGCGAGTACATGAAAAAATAGCATACATAAAGAACAATATAAACGATCAAATACAAAAGTTGTAAAATATTATCACACTTACTCTATTAACAAAGAACGTCTTCTCGGCGCGAGTTTCCCACCAAAAATGAACTGTTAGCTCAAATGATCACGTGGTCTGTAATCTGTGAAGCGGGAAAATTCGGCATTTTCCGCCGTGCTTCTCAACTCTGACCTTTTCAGTATTGAAATATTGTTGGCCAATATTGGCCTGAGACATTTGAATATTCAATGACCTTTTATCGGCAATCATCGGAATCCGGCATTCAAATAATTATGATCGAGAATGGGAAATCTTAATTTATAAGTACATAGGGGTGGCAGGATAAAGCCATATACGAAAACGCACGAACAGGAATAACATATGGCCTGTTAGAGTAGTGGTTAAGGTCCTTGTTTCGCATGCGGAAGGTCGTAAGCTCAAATCCCACCATGGGTGAAACTTTTATTAGCCCTTTGAATTAAATTATTCTATTTTTGTTTTACTTTTTATTTTATTGATTTTTTTATATTTTTTTTTGAATTATTAATAATCATTATTTTATATATTTTTCCATGTATTTCATATACGAGAATGATATAGCTTATTATGTATGGTGGCTGAGTTTGTACACTTTGCGTGTTGCGTTGTCGATAGCGACAACACAACCTTTATCGTTATCGTCTTTTCGTCTTGTCGCTAGCGGAACGCACCAAACGGCGCGTTGTCGCACTGTCGTCTTGTCGCTCGGCTTATAAGCCAATCCTTTGATTTGAGCGACATCGCGACAACACGCCGCACGACAACGCGCCGTTTGGCGTGCTTCACTAGCGACAAGACGAAAGTAACTAATATATGTAGTAGATATAAGCCGAAAACTGTCCAATATGTCAAATATTGAATTTCATTAGGCGCGTAGCGCCGAGGGGAATTCAATATTTTACTTATTGGTCAGTTTGAGGCTTATATCTTACTTAAATTACTACTTTTACTATCAAATATCATGTTATCCATCGAAAAATTAGACATTATGTTTCTTGTGCTAGAAATGGACAATTTTATGCTTTAGTAGTTATTTTTTCTTACCTGCAAAACCCTATAGAGAGCCTCTAAAATAACAAAATGTCCGAAGTATGAAAATTTCGTGTTTTGAAATAAGACCAATACACAAAATAAACCAGTTACACAAAATGTTGGATTTACACACATACAGTTACATAAATTTGTACATTGGAGATTTTTACAAGAAATAGTAAAAATAAAAGTTTTCAAATTTGTGTTAAATCTTGGATATTTTGAATGCTTGACTGAGATGACTTTATGGATTCTTATTTTCTCTATTTTATTACTTTTAGGAAGGATTTTTACTGACCATTAAGTGTTAAAAATGATATTTTTATTTTTCATATGACTACAGCTATCACAGATGTAAAATGTTGTGTTAAAATGACCATTAGGGTTAATTTTGGATATTTACGCAACGAAATGAGATTTTCTTATTTTTGAATTGATATTTGTCATACCACAGGGGTCTGGAATCGTTTATATAAGTCAAACAATTATGTAATCAAATATAACAGCTTTTGTTTTGAAAAGATGAATTTATTTTCTCTATAATTTCATCTATCTGAAAAGCTGATCACTTATTTGAAAAGTTGACCTTACTGAAACAGTACGTACATACAATCATATCAAGTAAAATTGTCAATTAAAATACATGTTAAAAGAAAAAACGGACAATAGGCAAGAATTAACAATCCCATTAAAATCATATCTTAACTGACTTTCACTACGGAAGCGTAAACGGTAATATAATTTTAAGAGCTTGGAGATCGAAAACCAGTAGGCTTGAAAATAGAATTCGTGAAATGAGCAAAGAAATCATCGACAGATAACAATTATTGTTCTTTTAGTAAAATTCTGTAAAATACGTAATGGGCAAAGGAAAAACGTTGCATTACTCGTATTAACTTACATTTTATTTAATCTTTTATTCTTTCTTTAATTTTGATGATTTTCCACAAAATCCTGTGGTCATTGAAGCTTCTTTCATATTAATGTGTTACACAATTAATATTGGACTTACACGTTAATATTGGACACCTACCTGTACTGTATTAAAAATACAGTACGGTCAGAACAAAGGAATGACGTCACAGAAGTAATTTAAAGTTATATATAACTATAATTATTGATAGTTAAATAACGATATCAACATACAATTAAGCAAGACGCACACAGCAGAAAGCATAATGTGCATGTAAGAAAGCAAGATGTAAAAGTCAGAAAGCAAGATGTACATGATACGTTATAGTATGGCCCAGTCAGAATGCAAGATGTACAAGTTAGAAAGCACGATGTAACGTAAGAAAGCAAGATGTAATTTTTGCGTTAATACCCTTCCATATAATAACCTAGGTGTTTCTACCTGTTTAGTGGAGCATGTTGTCTAAATCTCTTGTTTCCTACACCAATTTTCCTCTACCTGCTTAATTTATATAGTGGATTTGTCTTGCTTTGAATTGAGAACAGTTCATTCAAAGTTTAAAGGGACTCCACTGAAGTTTTTGACATTACGGGACGGAAATAATGTTTCGAGATAAATGTTCCATTTGATGAAGGTCTAGACTAATAACTTGTGTGCAAAATTTCAGATCACTCGCTCACTCCGCTTTTCCAGAATACAGTAATTGTATTATTCAAACTGTGAAAATGATTCAAAATTGAAAAGTGTTGCAACCAAATCGGACTAAGAATAGCCTAAAAGTACGATTTTCAAGTTATTTCTACGCATATTTCTTATCAACCTTTTACATATCTTGCTGTTTTAAGTGACCAAGCTGATCTATGAAAGAAAATCAAATTTTATGTTTTTTGGCTTGTGGACCACGGTGGAGTTCCTTTAAGGTATTTCAGTTTGAGCAATGGTCTGCGTCTGTTGCTGATGCTTTTTGTAGATTTTCAGAAATATTGGTGCCAGTCTTGATAATGACGTATTCTAAGTGAAGGGCAAATAATATTTTACAGGGCAAATCATACCATAAAAGGCATATCATATCTTACGGGGCGAAATTATATAGGGCAAATCAAGCAAATCGTACCATAAAGTTAAATGGCAAATCATGCCTTTAAACGGGTAGAATCATACGTTACTTTTAAGGAGCAAATTAAATCTTACAGAGTTACGTTATTGGGCAATTTATATGATTATGATTTAAAACATATTTTATTTCTAAAAAAAGAAACGAACATATATGTAAAGACTGTTAAAATACAATGGTATAACATATTTTGGCAAAAGGGTTGACCCTCAAGTTCTCTCAACATAAGCAAAGGGTCTTCCCTTAAAAACACCTAATTAGAAAATTTCTAATATGCAAAAACAGCAGGGGGAAAAATGGTCTGGATATACATGTAACTACGCACATATTGCGTCTTTCCTAATGGCCAAGAAGTATTCTGTAAAACGGCCAGACTGCGTTTTATTTCATGCAGCTGCCAGCCCGTACTTTACAACATGCATGTTTACAAAGCTTCGACTGCAGTACTGCTGATAAGCCTGTTAGGCTGACGTAGCCAGTCTACAAAATATTTTCCAAAATGGCCGACTAATGGAATTCGCTTAATAACGATCGATATGTGAAAAAAACATGTACTCTTCATGTAAATGATTTATTTTCAAACGCCATTTTATAATCTGGGATGTTACATAGGCGCCAGGTTGTGAAAGTGTTCTTTAATTGAGAAATGTTACGCGGATATTTACATAATTGTTTCATAAAAAGATGGATGTGTGAACTTTAAGAATAAACCAGGTTTGTTTATTTTGTACATTTAGTTTTTTATTTTCTTGGTAACATTTACAGTTTGAAAATCTTTTTGTTGCCAAAATGAACATTTTTACATCGCATTAATTTAGAGAGATATGTGTGTTATTGTCTACTAGTATACAAAGCGTAGAAACTATTTTGTTTCCCCTGAACGACCTTACTGTGGGTGGTTCTGTCTACGAATTGGCCATATTGATAAACAACAACAACAAAAAACCTTGAAACTTTCAAAAATGTCTGTATTTTGAGCATACGCCCCTTTGTTGATCATAAATCAATTTGTATGGAAAGGTCAGCGTTCTTTGTTTGAGGTCAATCGAACCGAGGTTGATCTATAAGATTAGATAAAGATGATTAATGGTGATCGAAACCATGACCTATATTTGTTTACTAATTAGGGTGTTTTTTTATGTATACTTTTCGACATTTTACGTTTTATATATTTATTCATATATCTAAATTCTAAGAAACCTACTCGTTACGCAGAAGCGTTTGTTCGTGAGAAAATTATCGCCGACGGACAAAAATATCTTACTATCAAAAGTTTCTATAATTATTGTAGTTCAAGTTCGGAGTATATGAGCCGTGTCACGACAAAACCAACATAATGGGTTTGCGACCAGCATGGATCCAGACCAGCCTGCGCATCCGCGCAGTCTGATCAGGATCCATACTGTTCGCTATCAGTTTCTCTACTTGTAATATGGTTTGTAAGCGAACAGCATGGATCCTGATCAGACTGCGCGGATGCGCAGGCTGGTCTGGATCCATGCTGGTCGCAAACCCATTATGTTGGTTTTGTCGTGACGCGGCTCATATATGCATTACCAGAGAAACGCTGGCAACTGATTTAACTGTTTCAGATAGGTTTTGATATCATTCGGCATGTGTTAGTTGTTAGGGGTCAGTCTTTGCTGGTGGGATATTTTCATTTCCTTGGGGGTGGATGTGTAATTAATGGCCACACATAATTCTATAAGTAGTTCTGGCTTCTATAATTTTAAATGACGCTTTTATTTTCACAGGTCTAGCAGTACTATAAAATCTGTTCGCTAAATTCTAGTGATTGCTTAAAAGAAGCTGTTTTTTATTTCAAATTGTGAGATCCTATAACTTTTTAAGAAAATTCAAAGTGATGCATTAAATCTACATTATTACACACCTTTAATTTAAAATAACTTACTGGGGTCAAGACATTCGATAAAAGTGATATTGTATTCTTGAGGCTTCTCAAACTGCACGTTTGTAACGTCAATTTTTTATTGGACAATCGTGACGTTTATATCTCTATATCTATGTACACGACTGCTACAACTTCACGAAATATTTTTCATTATAATCAATGAAAACAATGTGCAACGTCAAATTTCAATTTTGTTTATTAAAGGGACTCCACTGAGTTTTTTTGACATGATGGGACTGAACATATTTTTTTCCAGATAATTGTACCATTTAATGTAGGTTTAGGCCACCAATCTTTGTGCAAAATTTCAGATTATTCGTGCACTTCGTTTTCTAGAATAATTAGTTCTAAAAGAATGACCCAAAATGAAAAGCGTTTAAACGCTTTTCACTCAAATCAGGCTAAGGAAAGCATAAAAATACGATTTTCAATTTATTTCAAAGTATATTCCTTAAAGGGAGACACAGGCAAAATTTTCATCTCTTCGTTTTAAATTTTTCATTCATTACTCTGTTAATGTCCTCAAAAAGAATACACTAGGCAGTCACATGAACAAAACTTTTCTCCGAATAAAGAATAAAATGGTGTTTTTCTAACATGACCCACGTGGGTCAGGTTAGAGCGTTCAGATTTCACAATAGTTGTCAAAGTAAACTCTGGAAATGTTAAAGAACATGTAAAATGAATGGCTTAGACTTGTTTCAATCATACAATATCCAAAACATATGTTATTATAACTTCCATGGTTTGTTCAAGTCACATGACTGTTTTTAAAACTACTCGGTGATTATGTTGGCGTCTACATTTCGTTCAACATATAGAGATACATTTACACTTCAAATCCAAAATATATAGAATTTATACAGAACATTCATTCTTGGACTTTAAAAAATGCCACTATATCGTGATTTGAGTACATATAAGATCATTTAAATATTTTTGTCATTAATTTGCCTGAGTATCCCTTTAACTATCTTTGCATATATAGTTCTGTTTAAATGTCCCAGCTCATTTATGTAAGAAATTCAAATGATATGTTTTAGGCTTTTAAACCTCAGTGGAGACTTTGCGGGTTATACATCCGTAATTTAACGGTTGTCTCACCTGTCAACCCGGTTAACCCATTACACGATATACACGCCTTTTTAACCCCCCCCCCCCTTTCTGTTGTCTCAAATGTTTAAAAAAATGCCTTATTTAGGCCCCCAATACTTTTTTTGTTTGAGAAATGTTTAAAAAAGTGACCACTTTTTCGGCGCCCCCCATCCAAAAGATACATCAGGGGGTTGCCAGAAGGGGGGTGTGCCCCCTTCTGTTCGGTGGGGGGGGGGGACGTTGAAGGGGGGCGGTAGTCCCCCTCATCGCAAAGAAAATTTTGGACTTGTGAGAGGCTAAAAATGACCCCATATCGATCATAAGGTAATGTGTAACCAACGCTGAAAATCCTTGGACTCTATCTCAATCCATTGAGAAGTTGCAGCACTTTGAAATCAATTTTGATGGAAAAAAATCAACGCAAAATAGTGATTTTTGGCAATTTTGAGATGTCCCCTCGTTGCCATGGTAACAGGAAATTTAAGACTGAGCATGTTGTTGCAAAGGCAATGGTCCAGTCAACACTTGTGCCAAGTTTGATTAGTATTGGAGCAGTTTTCATAGTTTTATAGCAATTTGAACTTGTAACGGGAGACTTTTCAATGAAAACAGCCATTTTTCACAAAATGCCCATGCAGTAATAGGTTAAAGATTCTTATTAGAAATCAAACTGGGTTTTATTTTTTTCTGGTCGCTTTTCATTTGATAATCCTTTCGTTTATAATAATGATTCTTCGTCTTATAGAAATTAAAAAGTGATTTTCGTTTTCCCGAAATAAATTTAGTATTCTGCTGTATTTTAAATTCGTTTTAAAGATATCTGCCATGTTATATGACCGTGTAGGCAATATAACCATTGCGTATCAGTTCGGGTTATATAAACTTACATATAACCGTTCAAACACACATAACATGTCAAAACGGCTGTTTGCAATATAACCCTAATGTATCAGAGTGGGTCATATAAACTTACATGTAACCGTTAAAACACATAACATGTCAAACGTCTTTATATTAACATGTAATTATATAACCTGTTAATATCTTTATAAACTATAATGTAAACTTTATCTAGAGTTTTAACTTATATTGACTAAAACTCTACGATATTCACAGTATCGGGAGTCGGAGTCGAGGGTAGTTCTCTTTGGGCTCTAATGTATCTAGATGCAAAATAAATTTTACAATGGAAACGGTGTTGTCTGGTCTGAATCAGCGTCATTTTATCTGCTTTGCGAGCTAAATGAGTCAGTCTTAAAGGAAAGTCTGATGCTTTCCAATGACCTAATCACCATAAAGATATGCAGAGAATTTTAAACAAACACACTACACAAGTATATTGCATCCGTGTTGTTACGAAAGATTTTATTACCTAAAAAAAACAAGTGCCACTGCAAAAAGTCACTGAACGGCCGAAAGTCACTGCTAGACCGCAAGTCCAAAATGATACAACATTGTGTCGGAAATAAGTACATTTTGTGATGATGATGATGCTGATGAATCAGTATACTTTATTAATAATTAAAAAAGAATTTGGTACACAAATGCAAGCACATAAGTTTATAATACAATGTATAGCTTTTACATAAATAAATAAAGAATACATTGGAATAATAACTTGATACTCCATTCAGCAGGCAACTGTCTTAAAGCAGACAAAGGACTGCATCCGTTGACTGGCTGCTTAAGACAGTTACGACTATATTATATAAACTCTAACATTTGCCTCGACAATACGATACTACATCCTCTTATTTTTGTATAAACGGTTTTTTCCTAACGTCAAACTAATGTTTTTTGTGTAGGCCTCTTTTTAATTCATGTTTTAGCATGACATAGTCCAAGCTTTATCAATAATAACATTCTAATTTGAAGTTTGACGGAGGGCCGATAAGGTGCGACTGGAAATAGTCTTGACCATTAAACGTCAACTTATGTCTCATTCCATAAACAAAACAGAAAAACATAGACATAGGAATGCGTCACTACATGTGCATGTCTTTGATAGTTTATTGACTTATAACTTAAATGCTGCAAAGCGTGCAAAGTATTAAGAACACGACACAACGACTAAATGATATTCGTCAATAATACAGGGTTCGCATCATTTTCAATTTTGTCTTGTCTGACCTTTTTTTGTAATTGATTGCAATGTGTTAAACACATACATGTTTTATTTATTTGTTCTTTTTTTGGATTTTTTTCAGATAACAGGCGGAATACGTTGGGGAACATAAGGGACCAAAATTAACAAGAACTACAAATTCATGCGTATGAATACTTGCGCGAAGAATGGAGCTTGAACCCAGCAGCGCAGAACATAGTCCGCCATATAGTGATAATAATAGATCATGGTCCTGGAACCAGATAACTGACGAAGTTAGCTCATTTACAGGTATTCAAATATATTTTTATAACTATTAGTTAAACATGACAAAGATAGGCGTTAAGAAAGTACATTTTGCGGGGCTGTACTTTAGGTAATCGCAAGAAAATACGAAGCAAAGATTGAATATGGCAGCTTTCTGTGTAAAAATGTGTATTTTCGTATTCGCGTGACCCTGACGTGGTTAACCAAAACGCAGAAATCGTTCACCCGAAAGTTAACGAACTGACAGCATTCACTTCATATTACAGCGCAATAAAAAGTAGTTCTTTGGATGTTTTGCAATATCTTACACTTTCTTGCGCAGGAAAACACGTATTATTTAGTGGACTTATTCACTCTTGCTTTTTTATTTATTTTTTTATTTTCATTTTTTATATATATATTTTATATTTTCAAAACACGCGATGTACCAATCGTATTCATTTTCGGCCATTCCCGTCAAACTTGGTGTAAGGACAACTAGATGAGATGATGTGTTCCGAAATGTGATGTGATCGTAGCGAAACTTTTGGAATCTACTTGTCATTATTAGTTTAAAAGTTAGCACGATTTTATATACAGTTTTCAGTTACATGATTGTATATAATACATATTGTACTTCTAATGAAAACGGAAAAATATACAACAACTTTTACACGTATTATATTTTGCAGTCTTATCCTAAATGATAGTTTTGATAAAATGCACATGTACATTGTATTCAATTTTTCGAATCGTCTTTGGATGTTAAGAAAATCAAGTCTCGTTAAAAAAAATCCCTTGCAGTAAGTTCGGACTTCTTCAAGTACAGATTGGCCAAAAACTACAAATATTGATGGTCTGCGCGCACAAAGTATACCTCAAATTAGTGGAATAGCACAATGTTTATTTGGTCTTTCAAATGCTTCACACGACAAATAATTCTGTTATGTTGTGTTTACGAAACGGACTTTTCTGTGTTCTGAGGCAAAGACAAAATACCCATAGGTTTTGCGGAAACGGCCGACAGAACTTTGCGATTTGGGAAGGTTACTCGCAATCGGAACATCCTCGGCTATTATCTATAATAACGAAGACTGACGGAAAGTGGGGAAGGTAACTCGTACATGTGTAGGAAAATCAGTAGTAAATTGGTGCAGCCTTTTTGGAAACGAATATACGTTTACAGATGCAAGATTGATCGGACGGAGATATTTACGGAATTCATTCAAAACATGATATTATTCTAGAAACATGAATAATTTATCTTGATGCGGAAAACTTTGCCAAACTATCTTGACTTTATATCATTATTATACAACTGAATTCGTTATTTTTTATATATATATAACATAAACGCTTTATAATGAAGAATATCATAAACACTGTATCAAGTTACATTAGAATTTATATAAATTATATTTAACACATCGCCCACAAGTTGCTGATGGCCGAGAAATGGTACACTTAAAAGAACATGTGACCGACTTTTTTCGTGTTAAAATTACGTTCAAGGTTTGGACGGGAAAAAAATTTCTAAAATTCGAGAAGTTCCATACATTTATGAACGCATCTTCAAAGATTTTACGAATCGTAAATTTCTTAATTCTTCTCTTGATTTTTTATGTCCTTCTTTTAAAAAGTGGAAACAATTCTAATCTATGTTATTGTTAGAAACATGTTTGAACAGTCTTTATTTTAGTCCCAACATTTTGCGACGCGCTTGTTTTTGGCCGATAACAAAATGATAAAATGAGTTCGAAACAGTTTCAAATTTAACTGAATAGTTTTCAATACTGGATCACCTGGTCATTTTAACCTTTATGCTCTTATTCGATGCTCTCAAACGAGCATAAATGATTTATTATGCTCCAACATACACATGCATTCAAGCACCTTTAAAGAAAAACATAACATAAAACAAGGTTAGAGGGCATGCCGTTAGGCCGTCCCGTTTATTTGTCAAAAGATTTACAAGAAACAAAAGAAACAACTCCATTAGACAAACTGCAAGTGTTCTTCTAAAATGTTCGTGCTCTTCTCTCCGACCCAACCAAACAAACCTAATGAAATTCGATTTCTAAGAAATACTATCTTTAATCAATCGCAGGTAGAATTAACTTATATAATATAATTGGAAAAGCTAAAGTCAGAAATGCTGCGAGCGGGCTACCCAACCCTACTCCGTCGTGGGAAGGGGGAGGTAGGAAGCTCCAAAGCTCTAGATCAGCGGCTGCTTCAATCGCCTATCTGATATATCCCCAATTTTGAGCCTAATAAAAAAACATTAATTACATAAAATGCATTAAGTTCAGATTGAATCAAAACATGACATTATTGACCTTCCCTCCCCATCATTTTTTTTAAATTTTTACATCCATGTTAAAACGAAGGCGAATAATCTGAAATAGACAAAACAAGATATCGAAAATCTGTTAAATCCATAAATTTATTCATGATAATTTGTAATATATGAAAATTATATTTTAAGAAATTTCACAAATGGGGGACGTGAACGTAATGCCTCGAATGCCTATATTTGATCAACTTACACGTAAAATCGTGCATAATTACCGCCAAAACTATTACCATTTAAAACACGAGGAATTGCCATACATGGAAAGACACGGTGTATGCTCCGTAAATAAATACATTTTTATTAGAGTCTTTTTTGACAGTCAATAATTGTGCATTCCTCACTTTCCCACCATTTCTTTAAGATATATCGTGCTCATATTCAAATTTGATATTTGAAAATGCCAATCATTGCTACCCAGTCTCTTTATAAACGTAAAATAAAAATATTTTGAGTACACACAGAGAAAATATGTTATGTTATACTTTAGATAAACTAAGTTAACACAGTATGAATATAAAATGTCATTAAAATTGGCAGTTTTTTTCAGGAAAGGACCAACTTAACTTGACCAGTCATACGGAATGCAGCTTTCCAAACATTGTTTGTGCAATCTCCATTGGTATTTCCTGTTTTCATACAGCAACAAATAAATAACTCTTAGATTCAGACAGTAACACATAAATATTTCCTGTTTCAAGACAGTAACACATATATCCTGTTTTCCGACAGTAACGCTTAAATATTTCCCTTTTCAGACAGTAACACAGAAATATTCCCGTAACACATAAATATTTCCGTTTTCAGACAGTAACATTTAAATATTTCTTGTTTTCAGACAGTAACACATAAATATTTCCTGTCACACAAACATATCTTTGTTTTTAGATAGTAACGCATATATATTTCTTGGTTTCGGACAGTAACACGATTGTTTTTCTTTTGTTTCAGACAGTAATAATGAGTTATGTGGCCTTATGGAAGACAAAGAGGTGGCGGCACGTGCTGTGGCGTTTGTGGTCAACAGTACTAGAAAAGGAATTGTACCCCTCTGTGCTGATGTTGCAAATTTGATGCGCACAAAACAATGGTAATCATTTTTGTTTGTTTTTTTTTTTGTTTCGTTTTTTGATATGAGAAAAAGCTATGGCTGTAAAATACATAAAATTGTTGTTTGGATAATGCTTGGTGCCATTCGATATTCTCGGCACTAGAGTTCAGGGGGTTATATGATATATTCGATATTCCAGGTCCCAGCGTTCAGGGGGTTATATAACATACTCGCTGCTTGAGTCAGTGGTTTTATATGATATACATGTAATAATTTCTAGGGTTTGTGGACTATATGATATTCTCAGTGCTATTGTTCATGTGGTTATATGATATAATCATTCCAAGCGTTCAGAGTTATATGATATTTTCGACAATCTTGGTGTTGGCATTCAAGGAGTTGTATGATATACTCGTTGCTAGAGTTGAATGTGTTATATGGTATAATAGTTACTAGCGTTCATGGGTTATATAATTTCTTCTGTGCTATTATTCAGTTGGTTATATGATATTTTGGATATTCTCGGTGCTAGCATCCAGGGATTTATAAAGCTTCTTGCTGCTAGAAATCATAGGGTTATAACATAGGCAATCTGCTAGAGTTCATGGGGTTCTAACATAGGCAGTCTGCTAAAGTTCATGGGGTTATAACTTATAACATATGTAATCTGCTAGAGTTCATAGGGTTATAACATACACAATCTGCTAGAGTTTATGGGATTGTAACATATGTAATCTGCTAGAGTTCATAGGGTTATAACATACACAATCTGCTGGAGTTTATGGGATTGTAACATATGTAATCTGCTAGAGTTCATATGGTTATAACATATGCAATCTGCTGGAGTTCATAGGGTTATAACATACACAATCTGCTGGAGTTTATGGGGTTATAACATATGTAATCTGCTAGAGTTCATAGGGTTATAACATATGCAATCTGCTGGAGTTTATGGGGTTATAACATATGCAATCTGCTGGAGTTTATGGGGTTATAACATATGCAATCTGCTGGAGTTTATTGGGTTATAACATATGCAATCTGCTGGAGTTTATTGGGTTATAACATATGTAATCTGCTAGAGTTCATAGGGTTATAACATACACAATCTGCTAGAGTTTATGGGATTGTAACATATGTAATCTGCTAGAGTTCATATGGTTATAACATACACAATCTGCTAGAGTTTATGGGGTTATAACATATGTAATCTGCTAGAGTTCATAGGGTTATAACATATGCAATCTTCTGGAGTTCATAGGGTTATAACATATGCAATCTGCTGGAGTTTATGGGGTTATAACATATGCAATCTGCTAGAGTTCATAGGGTTATAACATACACAATCTGCTAGAGTTTATGGGATTGTAACATATGTAATCTGCTAGAGTTCATATGGTTATAACATACACAATCTGCTAGAGTTTATGGGTTATAACATATGTAATCTGCTAGAGTTCATAGGGTTATAACATATGCATCTTCTGGAGTTCATAGGGTTATAACATATGCAATCTGCTGGAGTTTTATGGGGTTATAACATATGCAATCTGCTAGAGTTCATAGGGTTATAACACATGCAATCTTCTGGAGTTCATAGGGTTATAACATATGCAATCTGCTGGAGTTTATGGGGTTATAACATATGTAATCTGCTAGAGTTCATAGGGTTATAACATATGCAATCAAGCTGGAGTTTATGGGGTTATAACATATGCAATCTCAGTTTCTGTTGAACGGGAACATATATTTAATTGCTGCATGACCAATTCTACTCGTTTATTAAATAACCTACCCCATATATCAGAAGAAGAAAAAACTGACGTCATTCTGTAACTGTCTGTGAAGTTTACCAATATATGTGTTTTGTTCAACCTCTCATTGATTATAACTCTGCACGTGATCTTGATGTTTGGCTTTTTTAACAATGAAACACTTGTATTATTACAGACGTACAAATAGATAAAACATGGCTGAAATTTACGAAATCTTTTCATTTCTAGCTACAGATTTCAATAATGCTAGAAATCATAGGGTTATAACATAGGCAATCTGCTAGAGTTCATGGGGTTCTAACATAGGCAGTCTGCTAAAGTTCATGGGGTTATAACTTATAACATATGTAATCTGCTAGAGTTCATAGGGTTATAACATACACAATCTGCTAGAGTTTATGGGATTGTAACATATGTAATCTGCTAGAGTTCATAGGGTTATAACATACACAATCTGCTGGAGTTTATGGGATTGTAACATATGTAATCTGCTAGAGTTCATATGGTTATAACATATGCAATCTGCTAGAGTTCATAGGGTTATAACATACACAATCTGCTGGAGTTTATGGGATTGTAACATATGTAATCTGCTAGAGTTCATATGGTTATAACATATGCAATCTTCTGGAGTTCATAGGGTTATAACATATGCAATCTGCTGGAGTTTATGGGGTTATAACATATGTAATCTGCTAGAGTTCATAGGGTTATAACATATGCAATCTGCTGGAGTTTATGGGGTTATAACATATGCAATCTGCTTGAGTTTATGGGGTTATAACATATGCAATCTGCTGGAGTTTATTGGGTTATAACATATGCAATCTGCTGGAGTTTATTGGGTTTATAACATATGTAATCTGCTAGAGTTCATAGGGTTATAACATACACAATCTGCTAGAGTTTATGGGATTGTAACATATGTAATCTGCTAGAGTTCATATGGTTATAACATACACAATCTGCTAGAGTTTATGGGGTTATAACATATGTAATCTGCTAGAGTTCATAGGGTTATAACATATGCAATCTTCTGGAGTTCATAGGGTTATAACATATGCAATCTGCTGGAGTTTATGGGTTATAACATATGCAATCTGCTAGAGTTCATAGGGTTATAACATACACAATCTGCTAGAGTTTATGGGATTTGTAACATATGTAATCTGCTAGAGTTCATATGGTTTATAACATACACAATCTGCTAGAGTTTATGGGGTTATAACATATGTAATCTGCTAGAGTTCATAGGGTTATAACATATGCAATCTTCTGGAGTTCATAGGGTTATAACATATGCAATCTGCTGGAGTTTATGGGGTTATAACATATGCAATCTGCTAGAGTTCATAGGGTTATAACACATGCAATCTTCTGGAGTTCATAGGGTTATAACATATGCAATCTGCTGGAGTTTATGGGGTTATAACATATGTAATCTGCTAGAGTTCATAGGGTTATAACATATGCAATCAGCTGGAGTTTATGGGGTTATAACATATGCAATCTCAGTTTCTGTTGAACGGGAACATATATTTAATTGCTGCATGACCAATTCTACTCGTTTATTAAATAACCTACCCCATATATCAGAAGAAGAAAAAACTGACGTCATTCTGTAACTGTCTGTGAAGTTTACCAATATATGTGTTTTGTTCAACCTCTCATTGATTATAACTCTGCACGTGATCTTGATGTTTGGCTTTTTTAACAATGAAACACTTGTATTATTACAGACGTACAAATAGATAAAACATGGCTGAAATTTACGAAATCTTTTCATTTCTAGCTACAGATTTCAAACATTCAGGCACAAACAGTTTTTGCTGTCCTTTTATGTCTTGTTACTGTCAAAGTAAGACGTTTATTTCCAGCTATGACAATGTTTTATCTACTTTTACAAATAACGAAAATAGTTTCTACTGCATGCTTTGTAGTTGTTTTATTTTTTGTTGTTGTTTTATTTATACTTTTTTCTTCACTTTCATGTTGGATCTTTATTCATATCCCCTATTATATACTAGTAGTTCATGTTGTTATATAATAAAAAACTTATAGAAAATTTGGTGTTTATGTCACAAATATATAGTCATGACAGCCTGTGCATCCGTGCAGCCTTACATCAGGGTCTTTCAAATAGAACCCTGCTTACATGTATACTGCTAGTAACTCAATTTTTGATTTTACGATTTAAAAATCCCTAAATTTTGGAATGGATTGTTCCAAATTCAAAGCAGGACTAATCCATTACACAAATTCAGTAGGTTAAGGGTTACGCGTTATATACGCGTTCATAGCATTACTCCCCGGGGGCGGAAAAAAATACTAAATGTAATTCCACGTTTGCACATTCCTCGGAATTCATACGCACTTTTCTTATGTACTATCTACCAGCGCTTGGGCTTATCAGCTATACAGCATGACTGTAAATAGTGGTTTAAAGCGAATCATATCTTGTGAATTGAGTAATTCTACTGCGGTTTTTGTGTAGCCTTGCTTTATATACCATAGAGATAAAAAAAAACAACTCGGTTACCTCGGTAATTCGGTTACGAAGGAAAGGCATTAATTTCTGTGCTTGCTATCTGACTTTTTTGCACTTACATTTTTTTTTGCTGGGATACGTTTGATATACGTGAATGTTTACCATGCTTAAAAGCCATGTTGTTGTGTTGTTGTTTGTTTGTTTGTTGTTGTTGTTTTTGTTTTTTTGTTGTTGTTTTTTCTATCTGAGAAAAACTTATATATATTTAGAGATCAGTAGTAGAAAACTTATGTTGCAAAATTTTTTTCAGTCTTGAAAGAAAATTGAGAATTCTTCGGAGACAAAATGATGCTTTCCGGTCATCTTGTAACGGGGGCTCGGTGCCAAGCCACTCCATGAGCCCGACCCCTCCATCGCTGAGTTCCTACACGGAGCAGTGTATCAAATCTTTACAGGAGCAGAGTCTTGCAATACAGGTACTGAAATATAAAATTTAAGATTACAGTGCAACCTCGACAGAACGACCCTCTGCAGAGTAAATTTACTTCTTTACAACGATAGTTTCATTTTTTTGGAAAAAAATTTAACCCAAACCCCGAGCCCAAAGCCCCTATTTTTTTTTATTCCAAAATTTTAAACCCCGTTTGATGTTTCACGAAAAGTTTATGGGAGCAATTTTTAAACATTGTTTTTCTTTGTTTTCCGATAAAACCCAAAAAAAATCCCCATTTAAGCTTTTACATTTTTGCATTTTTGCATGGGGACCCTTTAATGCCCCGTTTAAAATAAATTTTTAACCCCTTTTATAAAAAAAATCATATTTTTAAATTGTTTCTTACGATCTGAGCAAGGGCCTTTTTCGGGGAGCCAAAAAATAAACCAATACCTAAATTACGGGCCCTATTCATTTTTACTTAAATTTTTAAATTTTTTTTAAAAAAGATTGGGAAAGTTTTAATTTCCCCTCTGGGAAAAAAAGGACAAGTCCATTAAATATATTTAGGGTGCCAAGGGATAATAATGGTGCACTTTGACGTCAATCGGAACACCTCAATTTTTATTCATAATAACCGATTGACGGAAAAGGCCGAGAAGATACGATTGGTTTGACTTTATGTATATATTTTTCAACTACCGTTTCAGGAGCATTTTAGGTCCAGTTCACGGTGTAGCAACAGTTCTAGTAGCTACAGTTACTCGCCGAAACTGGACAAGAATAAAGTTGGACTGTACAATTACTCGCCAAAATTAGACAAACCCTGTGGCGGATCTCTCCGTCCTATTGGGGTGCAATATTCTCCGGCGAGTAGTACCGACAGTAAACAACATGGCTCACCAAGGTTTGTTTCTGATTTGTAGGACTTAGTTCTGTTGTTTTTTTTTACATTGCTAATCATATCCATGTATATCAACAGGCTTTGAACTTAGGTTTTTTACTGATTTCCTTTTAACCCCTTTTTCTTAAAGCTTTTCCGGCCAAGTTTTTTTTTAACCCAAAACCACTAAACCCCTTTAAAAAGTTTTGGTTTAGCATATTTCCCTTACCCCAAAATCGTCTTTTTTAAAATTAGTTACAAGAACCAGTTTGGCCCAATACCCTTTCCCCTAATTTTAAAAAATTCGACCCAAAAGTTTTAATTTCCAAAAAAATTAAATAAAATTTAAGAGTTGTTATGTTTTGTTTCCCATTTTGATTTTCCCTAAAATCTTCCCAAAAAACATTTTTTTATTTTTTTTCAAAAGATTATTTTATGGCCTTTTCGTGGGTTTACTATTTATCCGGTTTTTTAAATTAAAATTTGTTTTAAATTTTCCTCAGCGGAAAAATAATTCAAAAATTATTCCCCCCAACTTTTTCAAAGGGCGGAAAAATAACTTTTTTAAGATTTTCCCCATGTGGTACCTCAATTTTATTTTTGCTGACAATTTTGACAATGTCAGGCTGTTTAGAGAAAAGCAAAACTGAAAATGAACTAAAATGTCAAAAGTAATAAAAAGAAGAAAACTTACTTCTATTCATCCAAATTACCAATCACCAAATATTGTCTCTTAATTTTTTTGTTTCATTTTTACAGTCTAAAATACATTCCTTCCACAAGCAAAACTATTCTTGAAGACATTTGGGCATATTTAATTATCCTACGAGCAATAACTGCCGTATGCTTTATGAAAACTTGAAAAGCAATGACAGCCATGAGCCCGAACAATAAGTAAACAACTCAGTGCTCGTAAGGCAGCCTTTCAACAAATCAAAGTTTCCAATTTCCTAGCCGATTTTTAATGTTTACACATCTGTCAACACTTATATATTGTCTGTTACAATCCTCAAATAAGTTTTCTTTCTTTTGAAAAGGTGTATGACTAACAAATCCAAATGATATCCCTCTGAATCAAACTCAATTATTTTCCTCCCATGAAATACACAACTTTTAAAAAGGGCGGCCGATTACATTTAACAGTGCCAGGTCTAATATAAATTCGCAGTAAGTAGCAAAAATATGGATGGATGGTTGGACTTTTTCTCCAACTAGAATTGTTTGTTTTTATTATTAAAACAAGCGATCATTCATATTTTTTTTAATAAAATGAATAATATCACCGCCATTTAACGTTGATTATCGAACTTTTTTTCAGCCCAAGACTTCTTGTATTTTATGAGAAATTCGACTAATACATGTACATAATAAAAGCTACCAGTGGGGAAAACAGATTTTAATATTAAAGTTAATATCTAGGAAATTTCGTTTTAACTTGTTCTTAAGCATAAAAATAAAAAGAAAATTTGATTGTTTGTGTAAGATGTAATTTTTATTTCATCTCGTGAACTTTAAAAACAGTGTTTCTCACTCGTGGCTACACCACTCGCGAGAAATACTTGTTTTTTAAAGCTCACTCGATGGGGAATAAAATTTTTATCTTTACGCACAAAAAACAAAATTTTTCCTCTATATAATTTACACTGAAAAAAAAAAGCTTATGTATAGTCTCCGATATCGATTCTTTGAGACTGTCAATACAGATTTAATGTCACGTAATGATTTTACCTCTTTTCTATCTTTCAGATCTATTCCATTCGAACATTTCCGCATTTTTAGAATTCTCAACGTTCCACATGCCGCGCTTCCCAGCTTCTACTTGAAACAGTGATAATTCCACAATCGAATGACCACAAACCAGCCGGGGAATGGAGCCATTCTTTAAAGGGGAAACCGGAATTTTTAAAAACCAACGGAAGGGCGTTTGTTTATATTGACTTAGCAACATGTTTTTTTCGGGACTTTTCATTTTTGAAAATATTTAGCAATATTTAAAAATTTAACCTAAGCAAAAAATATAAAAGACAACGAAAAAGCTGTTTTGTTGATAAAAAATCGGAAGACTCCGGTACGTGACAAATTTGACCCGGTTCCCGCAATTTTTTAGGGCAAACCGCACGGTGCGGATGGGAATTAAATTAAAATTTTAGATGCGGATTTTTGAGACCCAAATTTTTAAATTTTTAAATTTAAAACCAAATTTATCAGGAAGATAATCCAAAAGAAAATTCCCCCCTTTACGAGTAGGGTTTTTTTTTAAACCCCAAAAAAACTTTCCTACCAAAATTTTAAACTTTTTAAAAATAAAATAAAGTTTTTTTAAACCCCCCCGTTTAAAAAAAAGTTTAGGATCTGAAATTACTACCATACCAAACTTGAAAGCTATGAGGATAAAGTAAGTTCTATCCCTAAGTTAAATAAAAGTTCAGGTGCTGAGGTTATATATTTTTCTTAAACATTCAAGTTAAAATCATATTTTAGATCTTTAATAAATTTGAAACCGGTTCAGAATGTACACTCTGACCAATGAAAAACCCTGAATTTCGAGAATGGATATCAGAAAAAAAGTTCTACAACTCCGAGGCCTGGTTTACATTATATAACAATAATTACATAATTGAAATACACATACATGTATATGCAAATTAATTATATTTCAGTTTTACTGTGATATATATCATATAGTGTGTGTATGTTGTATAATATTTATGGTGTGATTTTTAAGAAGTTTCATTACCGTTTTGTTATGGAACTTTCGAAAACCCAAAAAAGATTAAAACCGGTTATTGATAAAAGCAATATTTTAGGATAAGAATTAAAATTTTAAAATTTTTTATGTTTAAAAAAACAAATGTGTAATTTGTTTTTCAATTGTACATTTTTTTTCAAACCCGTCAGGAAAAATGTTAGATCAAAAAACAAGCCTTTTGTTAAATTTAAAACCCTATTTCAAATTTACTTTGTTTTTAAACCTTTTTTAAATTTTTTTCTTTATTCAGACCGAAACTGTCAAAGGAGAAAACAAAAGTTGTTTCAAAAACCCCAAAATTTTAAGGGCCTCCCTGGAAGAGAATTATGAAAAAAAAAAATTTAAAAAAATTTTATTTTACCCTTTAAACCCAAACGCCCAAATTTTACCCCTTATTTTAAAACAAAAAAAAAAAGAGGATTTTTTGTTGAATTTACCAATATATTGACTGCCGCAAACATTTTTGAAATTGACTATTGTAACCTTTTCATGTTACGTACAAATGTAATTATTGCTTATCTCAAATAGACATTGGCTTCCATATTGTTAAATTAAACTGAATTAAGGTGTCTGCACGTGCATTACCAACAGCGTAGCATTGACCTCTAAAGCTACAAAAAATAGTCCATTATAACTCAACTTACGTACACTACATATACACTTCATAATTTCATACCTATTGTAATGTTTAAAGTCTGATAGTCCCAAACATAATGATATGACAGAAGACTGACTCAACATTTTTTTTTAAATTTTAAGCTGTAAAATTGAATGCAAAACTGGAAGAGGATCTAACTGAAGCTAGAAAAGAAATAGACCAACTGAAAAAGCGACTTAAACGCATGGAGGTAAAGAACAATATACTTTATTTTGTTGCTTGGTAGAACTATTTTCATGGATACTGCAAAGCCGTCGTAAATTTCCAACTGAAAAATAGGTCAGTTTTACTTTTAAAGTGTAAATGGCTAAATGTCTCTTGCCTGCAGTTTACAAAATTATTGTTTGGATTTTGAACAAGAATACTTTAAAATATGTTTGTGTACTTCTTTAGAAGCAAATGACACATGCCTAAAATACTTGATAAACGGTTAAAATCTACTGATAATAGCTGTATGATATTTTGTTCCGGTGAACTCTTTTATTCTATTTACGTACAATAGTCATGTGTGTTAAAAAATGAAAACAACATAATTTTAATATTGATAAATTTTATAAAAAAAAATTCATTAGATATAACTTTGTACACTTTAAATGGCATAAACACTTCATAGTCTTACATTAAATGCACGCTAACTGAAACCATTATCGATTGAATATGTATAACTTTAATTAAGTACTAAACAACAGTGCTCACAGCGCTTTGATTTCTAATTGTCAAAACATTACAAAGTTGTGCATGACTTGTAATACTGGCCATTAACAGTAACTCGTATTATTTTCTTGAAAACTATAAAACAAAATAAAATTATTGAAAACTGGTAAGTTTGTACGAATTCATTTAATTCGTTATTCATTCAAATTCATTAATTTCAATCTGGAATTCGTTCCTGGAACCAACCAGTACTAAGAATGAGTGTAAAGTTTCTTGCTTGCAGGAACAACGCTTTTCCCTCACGAGGTTTGAAACCACGCGGTCAGCAATCCTTAAGTTACTAGTCCGACGCATGCGCTCACTCTCATTTATTTCGGGGAAACAGTAAACATTCCTTCATAAATTTAAAGCAGGCTTGTAAATAAATTAAAGATACATCTTTTTATGATAAACGACGTCACAAACGTGCAGTATTATATATTACAATTTCTATTTAAAGCTCTTTTTCCAAATATGACCATAAAAAACGAAAACAACGTGAATGTATAATTGTTTTGCTATTCCTATCTTTGTCATACAGTCGTCTGGCGCAATACCGAAGACGTACGATCAGAACGAGGCTGAGAAAGTCATAGAAGACAACGGGTATTACACGGGCAGTAACAGGACATCTAGAACCGGCTCTGAACACGAGCGTATCAGGTTTGTCTGAGACACCATTTATGTCGATCCCTTTAACTACAATAACAACAACAGCTTGTTTAAAACGTAATCTTATTTCCTATCAGCTTCTGTAGACAAGTAGAACTCTGTGATTAAAGGCACATTATGATTCAGAAATAAATGTATTTTCCCTTCTTTAAAAAAGAGCAAACATGAGTTTTATATTAGTTTTTATGAATTAAGGGCATGTTAGATGCTGAACCTGAAATTAATTGTCATAAAAGTAGCAAAAAGTAAACAAAGTATTATTTCTACAAACCACAATGGATATATCTTGAATTTTACTTACAGCCTCTTCAAGAAGCCGCCAGCCAAACGTCAAGCAATTACGTCAGTGTCTTACGTTGGTACGTTACCTAACTGTAAATGTTCCACGTGCATTGATGCCCTCGGAAGTGAAGATGATCTGACCCATTACTCGGACGTCTATCTTGATGAACCACATAGATATGCTGTCAAGTATGGCAAACGTTCTTATTCTTTTGATATTATATTATAATTATTATGACATTATTAATTATAATTATATTACCTGGTATTAAATATTATATTAATTCCTTAAATAACTCGCACAGTATATGTGATTGTCGTATAGTCCTTTCCTCTGTTTATGCAGTCAAATCTGTGCTAAAGGTCGCTTCAGAATAACCCTGTATATAAAGGCTACTTTTTAAATAACCCTTCATTGCTACATGTAAAACGGAATAAATTAACCTCCAAATAAAGACCACTTGTCTATAGAGACCTTGCGTTGTCTCTCCCTTGGGTGGTCTTTGTTCAAAGGTTTGATTTTACAATGATTGGTAGCTTGACCAAATATAAACCATTCTCGCTATCATTGCCATTTTCGCTGAATTGCACACAATTAGTAAATTGTTTTACTATATATATACACAATTATTATGAAATTCAATAAATTAATTTTACATAGTTACAGATGACTCTATTGCTATTCAAATTATTATTCATTGAACTCGCAAAACATCAAAAGCATTTGGTATATGACCATGAATGACAAAAGGACATTGGTCTGCAACGTTTTTTTTTTTTCTGTCTGATTCCAAATACTTGTTTCTCAGAGAAAAACAACTTAACTTGCTCGAACGACACCTTTCTTTACCTTTAAAATGACAATTTCTGGTACGTGTCAGGAAGAGACCAAATGGCCTTAAGATGACGTCACATGCCACGTTGTAGGCAGTCTTAACAAATTTTTCAATATATAAAATATCACAATTTTGGTACCAATATTTTATTTGCATAAACCGAATCATAAATATATATTAAATTTATCTGTTTCTTACATTTTTATTACAGTAGTAAACTTCAAGTTCAGTTAGATGATCACGTGACTACCAAAGGAGGATACTCTGGTCATATCCGTTATATTGGTCACGTGGATAAAATTGACCAATCACATGCCTTGTTTGTCGGTATAGAGTTGGATACTGCAGGTAAATGCTGTTTTAAGTGGATTATTATTATCTAATTTATATGTTAAACTAAATGCCAAAATGCAACAGAAGCAAAGATAATACAGGTAATTGGCCAACGAGTAACTTTTTAGAAATTTTAGCTAGAAACTAGAAATAAAAAGCTAATGAGATAAAGAAATAAGCATTTATTGGACTTAATTGGCCAAATAGACGTTATAACTACATGTACATACATGTCTGTCATCCTACTGAACATTTAAGATTTTAAGGTATTTTCCACAACTATACATCAATCCTTAGTCCATTTGTGCACTGAATAAAACCAAAGTAAAAACAAAATCATCTTTCGAAAAGTGTCATCTTATGAAATGAGTTTAATATCAAAGACGTTTTCATGAGCCTAATTAAAATGTTTTTAGCTTTCCTATTTTGAAGAAATAGTCCCGCTAAAACAATCCCTGCGTCGTCGTGCAAAAATTTTAATGCAGCCCAATATTCAAACATTGTAATAAAGTTCAAGAAATAAGTTGTCATGACAAGGTGCCGTGGTGAGACAAGGGGCATTATTCTGAATTCAATAATTTTGGAGTTATTTCCCCTTTTAAGTTAGATTTTTGTTGCGTTGTCAAACTTGGTTATAGACACCCTTAACAAGACGAGCGTTAACAGCGCATACGGTGCTCTTGTCTTTGATCATAATTATAATGAAGGATTTCATGATATTTCTGTAAAAAAAAATTCGTCATAACGGTATGTCATTTTGTAATTTTAATTTTTGTTCTTTTTTTATCTTGCGAGTAGCTGGAACATCCGATGGAAGCCATGTTGGAAAACGTTACTTTTACTGCAGAAAGGACTACGGCATGTTTATCCCATTGACAGACGTCATAGGGAAAGTAAATAAAAAGGTACGGGTATACCCCCACATGTGTACGTATATATAAAATCTACATTCCCTTAAATGGGCCTCCGTGGCAATCCTTTAAGGTTGCTCACTTCAAATTACTTGCAGCTCACCGCTATGAGTTCAAATCCAGTCAGAAAATCATGATTCTTTCATGTGAGGAAGCTGTCAAATTTGCTTACTCAGACGCCCGTTCGTGCCTGAAATGATGCACCAAGGAGGCACCTGAGATCTCCAAACACCAGTAAAGCTAGAAGGTCGCCATATGAGCTTTACAGTGTCAGTGGGGCTTAAACCCCTACAAAATACCCAGACATTTTCTTATCAAAAACTTAAACTTTCAAACATGGCGTTACATTTTCAAAATTTCATTTATAAACTATATTTTTCCACTTGGGATGGAAATGAGCTTTTCCTGTGTCTATCCTGCTTTCAACCTGTCCGTCCGTACACTTTAAATACTAGTAACAGTGGAATGTGATGGTATCCATGGCTTATTAATTACCATATTTAAAGTTTATAATAGTTTTAACTACTAGTATATAAAATAACTATTATAACTATTTATAATATATGATACTTTTGCATGTTAAATATAAAATTGCAAGTTCGATATCAAACAGGTCGATTTTGGTGATAAAATACAAGGTCTAAATCATTGATCTTTGTCAAATGAAGGTGGAAATTACCGAACTAAAAGTGCATTTTGTAATAAATATATCTGTAGAGGTCGAACCTGTGAATAAAACGGTTACAAATATTTCATACCTTGATATCAAACATTTCTTTTTTCAGAGCCTGTTGAAAGCAACGAAGGAGGAAATTCTAAAACTCAAAAAGAGTTCAAAACGAATTAAAGATGAGAAAATTACACATTTGTAAAACGACGAACCATGCTGAAATTATAGCATAACCTAACTCTTTTGTTTTTCAGACATCACGCTTAAAATATTTCAGTGTGAATTATTTGCGTATTTGGTTATATTCTATTAAATATATTATGATACTTTTGCATGTAAAATGTTACTGCAAGACACAGACCTTACATTTCTTATTAGAGGTAATTATATTAGAGTTTTGTCACAGTAAAACGTGTTTGTGTTTGTGCTTAGATTCACTATTATATCTATCTTATTTTGTTCGGAAAAACCCCAAAATCTATGCCATTTTATTCTAAAAATAGCAAAATTACAGTTAATACTGACTTGGTTAACTGTTTTATTTATGAAAATCATGCCGGAAACTGGTCATAGGAACATATTTTATTTGATTTTCATGATGCATTTTAACCGGAAGTCCGAAATAATGCAACGTAGGTACGCAATCCGAAACATGTAATTACAAAAGGCTTTATATACAATGTATATAATGATATTATAGTTCCGTTTTATTAAAATTTTACCAACTTATGTTTCCGGATAAAAAGTAATGCATATTTGTTGTCATACAAGATGTAAGCCATATAAAGATCATTTAAATAATGTTCGAAATTTAAAATGTCTAGGAAATTTTACTTTATTTTACAATTACCTAAAATTTTGATTGGACTGCTCTAGATTCAATTAAAGCATGACAAACGCATGACAAACGCATTACACAAATTCTGCAGGTTAAGGTTACATCAGACGCTCGATGAGGTGAACGGATGTCCGTTTTCCCTCCAAAATAATATGTTACATATTAAAGCAGCATGCCTCCAGATTCATGCTCATTTCATGAAAATTTTAAAATTTATTTAAAAGTAAAATACTTTGAAGTGAACAAAGAAAGTAATTTACACATTGCCAAAAAAGAGGTCAAAATATACATAAATACCATTTACTGGTTTTAGTAACATTAGAATTATAGTGATTGATACTGCAAAATCAGTCATTAATCGCTCATGACATGTAAATAATTAATTAAATATTTAATCTTTTTACTTTACTTAAGATCTTAATACATTCTTCTAAAGATTGAATTTATTGAAATATTTTGGCTCATCTGGAGGCGTGCAGCTTTAAAGCAGATCGGCTTTTGATTGTAATGAATTGATATCTCAGTGCTGTAATGTAAATTTGTCATAAATTTCCGTTGCTAAAGATTCTGCAACTACGATATTGCTTAACAGTGAACACGTGTTAATTGTTTCCTTTTTCTCATGACTACAGCACAGTTTGTATGAATCCACTGCAACATTTAGCTCACCTGATCGCAAGGTGGGCAAATTTTTATTAAATTATGTAGGAATTATCCTTTATGATGAAACTCAATAGGAATAAGCTAATAACGAAATCTTGTTCATTTAAAACCCATCTTCAGTTGAGCGATTAAGTTCCACAATGACTCTCTTGTTTTATTTCTTTACCCGGGCCATCAAATATTTTTTCCAAGTAACTAAGGTTGTTTCAGGACGCGATACATACGTTTATTTTCGCTGAATATATTTTAATTATAGACTTAAAGAAAATATTTCAATCTGGACAAGACCAGTTTCAAAATATGTACTGAATGAATAGCGAACAGATCAAACTACCCGGATGTCCTGGTCACGTGGGTGAAATAAGGCAAAGTGTTATAATATACAATGTAGTTTATTTGTCATTTTGTCTATGTGATTATATACAATACTATTTGTCAAAATTACATTTCTGTGAAATAACATTTACAAGTATGGTTTCAATTTTTGGAAATTGAAATAACATTTACATACACGCATATATACAAATGTTTAAACTAATGATACAGGTAAAGGCTTTTATTACGAAGCTTTTTGATAAGTGTAGTCTATTTCTGCCTATGTCTATATACACAATCATGTATGATGCGATTTTTAAGTTACAGTTCAACCTTTGCAGAGCAACACCTTTTAAGAGGTACAGATTTTAGTTGTTGAGGGAGGTCGCTATAGAGAGGTTAAATTCACAATGGATTCTGTTGTTGTAAAATTATCGTTCTATAAGAGGGTCGCTCTGCAGAGGTTATCCTATTTATACATTTTTTATGTGTTGGTTATTTCGTCTATTGCAAATAAACAAATACGTCTAAAATATAATAATTTCTTCTTGTTCGCTTAATACTTTACTTAATCTTTAAAAGACCCTAAAATGTTCATTAAAGTTGCTAAACTCTTGGAATCGTGTTTGTTATTATTATTCACATGTTCACAATTATATACATTTTATCCCACCGAACCTTGTACGTTGCTGAATGGTTAAGGTCGTTGACTTCAAGCCACTTGTCCCTCGCCGTTGTGGGTTCGAATCCCTACAGTGACAATTCACGTTGCATTCTTTTATGTGTGGAAGCTTACTAACCGTCGCTGGTTCTACTCGGATGCCCGTGCCTCCAGTCGCCATATGACCTACCCGTAAAACAAAACAACAAAAACATTGTTAAATTTGATTGGTAAGAAAGGTTACACTTGAAAGTGGAAATCACCCGGAAAAAAAGGATGAATATCGCAGACTCAGATTGATCACGAACTTTAATTACATATTGCGTGGTCGTGATTTGACCTTTACTGTGTTGTTGTTCCAACAAAACTGCAGTAGATCTATCTATAATTTAAGGAAAGATTAGTAATACAAAAAAGATTGCGTTCAATTTCATTAATTGTTAAATAGAAAAAAGGCGATTACTTTTAAAGTAAGTTCATAAAAAGAATATCATCATCAGCAGCAGCAACAGCAGAATCGTGATGTAAGGGAAACTACTCGGATAATAATGTGACGTACATTTATTGGATTTTCAACTAGTTGTTTCCCTTACAACCCAATAAACGCTCGTCCAATCGTATCGGGCGACACAAAATCTGACAGCTGTTCTTAATTGATAGCTCGGAAGGAAAGTGTAATTTCCGATAAATGTATGGACAATGTATTTTTAATTCTCTAAAAAAATCATTTTTATTGATTTTGTTGTGCTATGTAGATGATCTATTATAAATGACTAATTATCTAATAATTGACTATCAAAATAAACGGTAAGGAATCGTAGAAAAAATTTGACACCTGCTATATATTTTGTTATTTCCGACATCCTCTCGACCCCGATGTTTGATTGGTGAAGAAAAAAGATTCAGAGGCTGGGAGAGAAAAAATAATTCTCAAAATTTCATTCATTAGCTGAATAAAATGACGTAAAATTTTCGATCTTATAAGACACACGTGCAGATTTAAGTAGCTCCTTCAAAGAATTAACTAACAAGGCGAAAACATGCTGTTTAGCGACCCAAAGCGAAGAATTTGATGTTTTTAATTGGGGAAATGCAGCGGAGAGATGCCCCCGGTATCTCAGGTGCCTATACCATTCTTACTTAGATTATTCTGGTAATTATACATGCTCAGATATCTTCCAGTTTACAGCAGTGGTGTACAGGTAACTCCCACTCAGGTATACAATGTTTCCTTCAGTCAGCCAGATGCTGGTAGATGAGACTGTACATAGCATTTAGAGTGATATGTTTATGCTTCAGCATCACTTGTTGTGCATTCTCTTTCATTCCCTGTGCTAATAAATTACCATCCATACACCTTTAAAATGAGTATCTATGGCATAAAGGGTTAAGTTAGGGACATAATTAATCATGTAGTCAAAATATTTTGACGTCTGAAGCAAGGTTCTAAGACATTTTTGTTTTGAATCAAAACCTACTTCACTAAGGGGACATATCTCATTTTCTCAAATTGTATTACAATTAGATGGACTTGTTAGTATACCATTATTCTAAACATTTCTTTGTTGATAAAAAACATCTTTATTGATTAGAAAGATCTATGCTATTATTTTTTTTCTTCTAATAAATGTCTGTAGTAATTGTTCGTGCATAAACCGTATTTATGTGGATCCAGATGGAGGTAGGGGATCATAATCCACACTGGAATTTGGCTAGTAAGTGGAACCCATTTGAGATTTGAATATCTAGTTGTGTCTTTTAGACTTGTGAAATTCAGCAATATTTTATCAGGACAGAAGGTCCCCTCTTGAAAACTTAAAAAGAATGTCTCTACCCTTCTTTGGAATCAATGTATACATTACCACATGTTGAATTTTGCTACTTCCTCTGGTAAAAAGATCCTAGATATGGGCCTGAAAGCCATACGTGTAAATTTAGATGAATTACTGTTTGCTCTTTGTAGCAAGCTGTAGAATTCAGAAATCTACTATTTTTGCCCTGAGTTTATAATCAAAAGTGTATAAGATAGTATGTTTGTTATTAATGTTCAGTTTACTTATATATGCATATGTATGTTCCTAATTAAATGATATGATAGAATCATGAAAATATATATCTCATTTGAAAGAAAGCTATTCTTATCATCCTGTAGGCTGTAATTATGCATAAAAAACCCCAAAAATCCATGTATGATTTTTTAAGTATTAGATTAATACAAATAAACCAATATTTGACAAGCAAACATATGAATAAAAGTCTTTAGACAGACAAGGTGTATATAATTTTCATAGACTAGAAATTCGTAACATGCAGTGATTATCAAACTTATATTCAGTTACAGAGTAGGCGAACTACCTGTAGTTACAATCAGTAAAATTATTAATGTGGGTAGGAGGGTGGTGTTAAATGCAGACGATATCAATTAAATAATTATAAAAAAGGCAAATTAATTTGTAATTGGCGCTTTCAGTTTACTTGTTACAAATTGCATGTGTCATTGCTTATTAATTGATACATGAAATAGTTTTATTGTCAGTTTGCAACTTCTCAAAGTCATAGGCTTACGTAGGAGAAATTCATGTTCATGTTTTATACTCAGATTTGCTTTGTTTATTTCTGTTTAAACATTGAACAGACATGACTGTGTCATGTCATTAAAACGAAGAAATTTTAAAAATGAGTTCAAACCACCTGGCTATCACTACTGTAGGTGGTTAAATTCCTGCCAGGGACTTATTTCCACATATATTATATTACTACTATTTCAATCCATGTTCTAATTATTTCATGCATATTCCATTTATTTTAACACTTTAATATTATTAATATTTCAATCTAGGTATTTTATGGTATTGAGTATGGTATCTTAATCAGTTTTAATCATAAAAATGCATTTTTTTTGCCATGATCTTATGTTTGATTCTTGATACTGATGTTGGGTACAAATTCTCTAACATATTATAACTATTTACATGTACATGTTCTTTGTAATCTAATTATTTTATGTGTAAATATTTCATTTTTTCCCACATTATATTATAACTATTTCCACCTATATGCTTAATATTCACCTATATTCTTAATATTTTATGTATGTTTCATTTGTTTCCACATAAAAAATACATTGTCACATTTGTGTAATTATTTAAATCTATATGTTTAATTCCTTTGACATGTATGTATATTTCATTGATTTCCACATGTTATACCTATTTTCATCGATGTTTTAATTAATTCATCAATATGAAAGGATATTGGATTTGTGAACAAGAGGTCGCTGGTTTGATCCTTTGGGTCACAGATGTTCTCTGTGATAATTGATTTTGTATATGGTTTAAGATCATTTGATTGTCACTGCTGATTCAGAAATCATGTGAGATGACGAAGTCAGTCATTTGTTAAGAAACTGGTATTTACTGGTCATTTATTTTGGAAGACTGATAAAGCGAACAGATCCCTGTGATATCACGAAAAAATGTAAAAAACACCCAACTTTTATAGCATTTATATGTTTCTACATGTATATATTACAACTTTTTCCGTCCACGTTTCAATTATTTCATGTATATTTCAGGGTAAAGGGCGGAAAGGAATGAAGGGAAAGTTTCTGAAACGTTCAGATGGAAGTTTTTCAGACAGCTCTAATAGTTTTGTTCGTCAGGTTTGTTCATGCACAGCTTTACATATTTTTATACACACTTTCATATATTTCTATACAGTACAAACTCTTCAGAGCTGATGCCCTTTGAGAGATAAAGATTTTGGATGTTGCCTTGGAAAGGCTAAATTGTTTGTAAAGACTTAATTTGAGAACAGTTGATACTGTTGTTATAAAGAGGTTATTGTCTTACAGAGGGTTGCTCTGCACAGGTTGAACTGTATTTTTCTTAAATTGCTTTTTCATGATGTGTTGAGGTACATGTAATTGTATTGTTTCATTTGACTGCACTATGACTTTTATCTGTTACTTTAACCCAATTTTAGTACCCTTTAAATTTCATTGTATAAATTAAAATTTATATTTTATTAAATATTCTCTTTTTCAACTTCCTTATTAATTGAATGATGCTGGTTTAATTCTCAAGGTGATGCTGGCTTGAAAACCAAGGTTTCAGAAATTGAGTGATGCTGGTTTGATATCCAAAGTTCAGAAATTGAGTGATGCTGTTTTGATTTCCAAGGTTCAGAAATTGAGTGATGCTGTTTTGATTTGCAAGGTTAGAAATTGAGTGATGTTGGTTTGATTTCAAAAGTGATGCTGGTTTGATTTCCAAAGTGATGTTGGTTTGATTTCCAAGGTTCAGAAATTGAGTGATGCTGGCTTGATTTCCAATTCAATTCAATTCTTTTATTCATTGAAAACACATTTTCAGATGAATATTGACATCTAACAAAACAAGATTTCCAAGGTTCAGACATTGAGTGATGCTGGTTTGATATCCAAGGTGATGCTGGTTTGATTTTCAAGGTTCAGATTAGATGATGTGGGTTTCAGAAATTGAGTGATGTTGGTTTGATTTTCAAGGTTCAGAAATTGGTTGATGCTTTGATTTCCTAAGTTTAGAAATTGAGCAATGCTGGTTTGATTTCTAAGGTTCAGAAATTGAGTGATACCGGTTTGATTTCCAAAGATCTGAAATTGAGTTGATGCCGGTTTGATTTTTATGGTTCAGAAATTGAGCAATAGTTTGTTTTCAAAGGTGATGCATGATTGATTACTAATGTCTTGGAATTAATTGATATTGGTTTGATTTCCAAGGTTCAGAAATTGAGTGTTCCAAAGTTCAGAAGTTGAGTGGTGTTGGTTTGATTTCTGAAGTCTAGAAATTGATTCTGGTTCCAAGGTTAGGGCTCAATATTTAACTAAAATTATGTTCTTAGTTGGTTGATGTTTTAACATTTTTGGTGTAAATGCTTTGCCAATTTCTGGTTATTTTTGTGTATATTGCATGGTA